CATTTATCTTATAATTGCACTTAAGATAAAATCCCTAGATCACTTATGGTTATAAGGTATGGTTGCGCATAGAGATGGTGATCATGGAACATACCTTGAAAGCCGTGATCTTAAATACAGTTCCAAGTCGATGGATGTTTCGAGATGGGATATCGAATAATCCATAAAAGACTTGCACATAGTTTGTATGCTTGTTGGACAAGAATGTTGCATTCCATCAACATTAGCGTAAGACGTAAGTACATTTATGTGGGTGCTTGTTAGAGAACAAGTTCACTGAACATGACCGTATGAAAATTCTTAATGAAGAATTTATTCAGTCGAATAAGAATTTTCATGTTACAATAGTACATGACTAATCCTAAGACTTGAGGCACAATGGTAACTTTGTGCATATTACATTCTACTTTGATTTATCCTTTTGGTAGCTAGCACTATCGTTTAAAGGGATAAGTTGGGTATTATGTTAATATGTATGGAAGTTTGTTAGTGGCCAATAAAGGATTCGACACTTATGAAGATAAGTGAATTTCCTATGTGTTTCATAGTTATTAATCCAAAGTCCTTGGCCAAGGCAGAGATGAATAGTGATTCATAACCGGGTTAATAAACATGAAATAGAATCATAGTTATTAAGTCAATTTGGGTTTCGACAAAATCATACCCAAGACTTAATCGGGAAATTAGATGTCGAAAGGATTTTACATGTATGGAGTTGTAATCGGAATAGGTTTACTCGCTATTCACTTAATACTAGATTCATGATACTTGCTAGGTGTTACCATGATATGTGGGTTCATGAATTAAGGGGTTAATTCTTGAATAAGAGTTAATAAGATTTAACTCAAATTACAAAGTGTTGTAAACCCACTACTAGTATTAATAGTGAACCTAAAAGGTCACACTAATTATGAACAAAGGTAAAGATTGTATTTCTAATGGTTAGAATTAATTGATAAATATCTAATTTGATTAGATGTCAATTAAAGGAATATATTAATCAATAAGATTGATTAATTACATTTTGGATATTACTTTAGTAATTAAAGTAATTACTAAATTAATAAAGTTGAATTTTAAAATAGGATTTTAAATTTCAAATCCAAAATAATAATAATATGATTATTATAAGATTGGGAAAATGATATAATAATAAAGTCTTGAGAAAGATTCTCAAGATTTATTATCCAATTATTATTTATATCTTTAAATATGATTTAAGGATTAAAATAAGAAATATGATTATAATAAAATGGTTGTTAATGGTTGTTTGAACTACTTAACATATCTTATTATTTTCAAAGTCAATGGTTAGTAAATACTATTTAAATAAAATTTGATTTTATTTAAATATTACTAAATATTGATTATTTTATGCTAAAATGTTTAGTATAAATAGATGCAAAATGTTTGCAAAGATGTGAAGTGATTTTGTGAGAAAATCAAAGAGAGAAGAAAGTGTTCTTCATATATTTCAAGAAAGTGTTCTTGATAATTCCCAATTTATATATATATATATATATTCCTATACAAGAAAACCGAGACATTTCTACTAGCGAAGAAAGGTCGTCGGAACCGGGCTTCATAGGGTGGATACGATTAGAGGGAAGACATTTGGATTCCTAAAGCGAGTAACCTCAAGCCGTTGAAGTTACAACCGGGAACCGATTCCCACAATCCACATCTTTGTTGAAGGAGTTCAAGACACTCGGTAAATATTTCGTATTAGTATTTACTTTATTATAACAAATCAAAATTTGTATATGATGCATATTTTAAAGATGACGATCTGTTAATTCGCAATTAGTATGTACGGGTGTTGTATTTATACGATAAATACTTACTTTAAAATTTTAAATTCCGCTGCGTACAACCCGTACGGTACTAACGAACCCAACACAATCCACCCATACGAGTAGCACTACCTCTATGAGCAACACTAGCTCCACCCCCCTTTCGCCTTCACGCTCTTCACCCTTAGGATCACCCTCCATTGCCATAGCTCTCCCGGCCTCGGCGTCTATGACCTTCAATGCGCCTACCTCTTCTACTACAAAAGAGGGTGTCCCCCGCTCCCGAGCCATATCCTCCAACCCGATCTCCTCCTACTCGAATACCCAAATAGCCTTGCTTGCCAAAACAATGGAGTTGCCCCGAGGTTGGGAACTTAGGGTTCCACGACCCGGCGACTTCTACGAGAATCCCCCATCTGACTGTTATAGCTTCTTTCTAGACCAAGTGAATGCCGGACTGAGATTTCCTGTACACCCCGACCTACTCCAGCTGTGGCGACTGTACCGTTTACCTTTGAACCAACTTCCCCCCAATGTGATCCGCCTTCTTATTGGCTTTATTATGGTATGCCGAGCCCGTCTCGGCGAACTCGATCCCAAGCTATGTTTTTACTGCTTCAGCCTTAGAACGAACGACACACCCTACCTTATGCGCTGCAACAATGTCCACTTCTTAGACAAACCAAAATCAAAACTGGAGAGACAAATTTTTCTTCACACGTCTGCCTCCCGATACCTTCGACTTTCTACCCGATTGGCTAGACAAGCCACCCGGTCAGCGCAAGAACCCAAAACGAAATGCTGAGTACGACACCCTCATTAGTCAGTGGAATGATCACCCGCTCCACGTGGTGAAGCTCACCTCCCATGATCGACTTCTTCGACATTTCCGTCTGTCCAGACGTGCCGCAGAACCCGTGGATGATATAGGTAGGCACATGATGCCATGGGCGACTACCATACCGCCCACTTCCTTTTCCATATCATTACATATCATGTTACATAAGAGTCATGCTCATGTACTTATTGTTTTTTTTTCTTGTCTTGCAGAAGAGCTTATGGCGACCGTCGCCTCCGCCAAAGTCCCGAAAGCTGCCGTCATCACCGACGAGGCCCTGCCGGCTTCCATCATTGCCGACGAGGTCCCGGTGCCCCCCAACCGGCCATCGCAGCAGACGACCCGCCCTGGGGACACCAATAAGGTCACCTCCCAATAGCGCTATCGCAAGCCACCTTCTGCGGACTTTACAAAGAAGCGCAAGGCCACCACTCAGGGTAAGAAGGAAACCATCACAAAGCCGGAGCACTTTGCCGGTAACAGAGACTCATTGGAGACAAGCACCTACCTCCTCTCCATCTTCCCAGAATGTGAGACAACCAAATGGCCAACCAAGCAGGACCGAGCTGATGCCACCATGTACCACCTTAGTCAGGTATAAGCCTATGACTTAACTTCTATGCCTTAAAACTTAACAACACGAAGTTAATGCGCGACTCCCTCTACCTCCTTAAACAGGTCATGGTCGGTTTAGCTCCCATGCTCAGCGAAGCTTTGGAGGGCGACCTCGACTTGCTACGCTCAAGCAGGCCCTCGCTCAAGTGAAGGCCGAGAAGGAAAAGCTCTGGGGCGAGCTAGAAGCCAAGAACTCTGAGCTGAAGGCGCTTCGACAGTTGGTCGACGAGCGCATTGTTGAGGCCCATGAAAAAGGTCGAGATTCGTTTCTCTCCTCGGACTTCGGAGGTCACTTCTTCAAATGCTACCGTGCCGAGCTGTTGTCGCGTTACCACGACTCAACAGCTTTCCTTAGTCGGGTTGTCACATCTTGCCTTCAGTACTTCCATGAGGGAGTCACGCGAACCCAAGCCAAGGCGGAGACCCAAGGCGTCACCTTCTTCGTGGACGCTGATGAGTTAAAGAGAGGCATCCCTAACCCCGTGGATTGGAACGGCGACCAGTCCCTCCCTGTGACCTATCCTTGGTGGGAGTCAGCCGTAGAGGCCGCTGCAGAGGCCGCTGCACAGGAGGTGGAGAAGACCCGAGAGTAGGAGGACACCACGCCACTTTCGTAGATTTACATGCGATTTTCTTTTGTTTTGCAGTAGATGTGTTGATCGAACTCCTTTTGTTTTGGCATGTAACCTTGAACTCATTTAGTCGTATGCTTTTGGTATGTGCAATGAACCATGTTTTTTATTCCCGATTTCTATGAACTGCCTTCACTCATTGCCCGTTGGCACCATTCCTTCGTGAGATATTTACTTTTCGCCGTTACTTATGTCAATTTATGCATACTTATATAGTTCATTATTGCGCAAGCAACAATATCTACCCTTCCGTGACGAGCTTCATTCACCAAGTCTTTTAACACTTAGCATCGTGACAATGGGCTTTGGCATCTAGCACAATTATTGCTAAGTCTTTTAAGACTCGTATGCCCCACTTCATTCAACGGCCTTATCAACTATAGAAGTCGTCGCCTAGCTCTGCGAGCTTAGGAGAGACTAACAGGCGTTCGCCCTACGAAGGTCGTCGTCTAGCTCCACGAGCTGAGGAGAGACTAACAGGTTTTCGCCCTACGAAGGTCGTCGCCTAGCTCCGCGAGCTTAGGAGAGACTAACAGGCTTTCGCCCTAAAGAGGTCGTCACCTAGCTCCGCGAGCGTAGGTGAGACTAACAGGCTTTCGCCCTAAAGAGGTCGTCGCCTAGCTCCGCGAGCGTAGGTGAGACTAACAGGCTTTCGGCCTAAAGAGGTCGTCGCCTAGCTCCGCGAGCGTAGGTGAGACTAACAGGCTTTCGCCCTAAAGAGGTCGTCGTCTAGCTCCGCGAGAGTAGATGAGACTAACAGTCTTTGGCCCTAAAGAGGTCATCGCCTAGCTCCGCGAGCGTAGGTGAGACTAAGAGGCTTTCGCCCTAAAGAGGTGGTCGCGTAGCTCCGCGAGCGTAGGTGAGACTAACAGGCTTTCGCCCTAAAGAGGTCGTCGCCTAGCTCCACGAGCGTAGGTTAGACTAAGAGGCTTTCGCCCTAAAGAGGTCGTCGCTTAGCTCCGCAAGCATAAGTGAGACTAACAGGCTTGCGCCCTAACACATTCCATACAAGAGAAGAATCAAGCTGATGAAACTTCAAAAACAATCTCATTATTGGTCTTGTAGAAAAAACAAAAGCAAATGAAAGCAAATGCGAACCAATGTAAATAACACTTCTTAAAGCTAGGCATAATATTTCTTCAAATGGGATATGTTCCAGGGTCGCGGCAGCAGCCGGCCTGCCGCATCACGAAGCTCGTAGGCACCCCTAGCGAATACCCTGTCAACAGTATAGGGTCCCTTCCAATTGGGCTCCAGCTTCCCCACATGTTTCAAAGCATCCGCCTGACGCCAAACCAAGTCCCCGACTTGGAAACACCGAGCTCGAATTAACTTGTCATGGGCAGCCTTCATCCGCTGCTTATAAACTGTTGTCCTCAACCTAGCTTGGTCCCGCAACTTGTCCACCAAGTCCAGTGCCTCCATCCGGAGCTCGACATTTCCTTCTTCCGTGTAGGTGCTAACCCGTTCTGAGTTGAGGCCGACCTCAACCAGGATGACGGCCTCCATACCATAAACCAAACTAAATTGAGTCTCTCCCGTCGAGGTCCTCGGCGTTGTCCGATATGACCAAAGCACCGAATCAAGTTCGTCCACCCAAGCTCCTAAAGCTCCTTCCAACCTAGCCTTCGATCCATTTCGAATGACCTATTAGCAACCTCGGCCTGCCCATTTGCCTGGGGGTGGGCTACCGAAGCGAATTTCTGTTTGATACCCATCTCCTCGCACCAACTCATCGTACGCCGACCCCTAAATTGAGTGCCGTTATCAGATATGAGCACTCAGGGGATACCATATCGGCAGCAGATATTATTGAAAAGAAATTTTATCACCCTCTCTTCTGTGATCGTCGCTAATGGCTCGGCCTCAATCCACTTGGAGAAGTAATCGACTGCCATAATCAAGAACTTTCGTTGGCCCGTCGCCTGGGGTAAAGGTCCAACTATGTCAATTCCCCATTGAGTAAAAGGCAAGGCCGAGCTGATTGGAACCATGCTATCCGCCGACCGATGGATCAATGGACCATGCTGCTGACACTTCTTAGATTTTCGCACAAGATCCTGCGCCATCGTCTTCATCGTAGGCCAAAAATATCCAGCCCGCAATACCTTCCCAACCAATATCCTAGCCTTTATGTCATCGCCGCAGCACCCTTCGTGCACCTCCTTAAGCACGTACTCCCCATCTTGTTCGGAGACGCACCTGAGATGAGGCCCCATATATGACCGTTTGTATAGGATCCCATTCTGCAAGTAGAACCTCAACGCTCGTCGTCCGACCGGGTCATCCCTGATATCCTTTCCCGCGACAGGCTCTTGCAACCATTGTATTAGAGGCGACCTCCAATCCTTTTGCTCCTCAATCTCCAGCATCTGGTCTAAGGAGCTTCTAGTCATATCCATCAGCGTGACTGAGCGAGATCGGCAATCAACAAGTGAAGCTGCGATTTTCAAAAGTAGGTCGGCCCTACCGTTTTCCCCCCGTGGTATCTGTATCAACTCCCAAGTCACAAATCCCTTCAACATCGCATGGACCTCCGCTAGATACTTCTTCATGCGCTCCTCCTTAGCTTCATACTCACCCCTGATTTGTTAGACCACGAGCTGAGAGTCCGAGTGAATGATGACCTGCCGAGCTCCTTTCTTCATGACGAGCTGAATTCCCTTAATGAGAGCTTCATACTCCGCCTCATTGTTCGACACTCTGAAAGACAGCTTAACCGCAAACTCCAAGTGATCTTTTTCTGGTGTGACCACCAAGATGCCGAGACCTGCTCCTCCTACTGTCGACGAGCCGCCGACATACACCATCCAAGGTCCAGCCTCGGCTCCCAATGTGCACTCCTGTATGAAGTCAGCTAACGCTTGGGCTTTAATAGCTTTTCGCACCTCAAAGTGGACATTGTATTCACCTAGCTCAACTGCCCACTTCACCATCCTCCCCGTGGCCGAAGGACGACCTAAGGTGTCTTTGAGTGGGTAGTTAGTCCGGACCATAACCTTGTGCGCCAGAAAATAGGGATGCAACTTTCGAGCTGTAGAGATAAGCGCCAGGGCGGCCTTCTCCACGTCTGAATACCGGCGCTCGGCGCCTTGCAATATCCGACTAGCATAGTATATTGGCTTCTGCTGTCCCTGCTCCTTCTTTATCAGCACCGAACTAATGGCTTCATGTCCCACCGATAGATAAATGACTAATGTGTCGCCTGGCTCCAGTTTTGTAAGTAAAGGGAGCTCAGCCAGAAACTCTTTCAACCTCTCGAATGCATGTTGTGCTTGCGACGTCCACTCAAAATGAGATCCCTTCTTCAAAGCCCTAAAGAACGGAAAACTTTTTTCCGCGGATTGAGCTATGAACCTGCTCAACCCTTCTAGGCGTCCGGTGAGGATCTGTACCTCCCTCAAGTTCCTTGGTGCCTGCATCTCCATGACCACTCGTACCTTCTCTGGGTTGACTTCAATGCCCTTCTTCGTCACCAGGTAACCTAGAAATTTTCCCGACCTTACCCCGAACTTACACTTGGTCGGGTTGAGCTTCATGCCATGTCGTCGCAAAGTATCAAAGGTCTTGCGCAAGTCTGCCACATGGTCACCCGCCTTCCTACTCTTCACCAGCATGTCATCAACATAGACCTCCATATTCCGACCTATCTGCCCTTTGAACATTTTATCTACCAACCGTTGATAAGTGGCTCCCGCATTCTTCAATCCAAAAGGCATGACGACGTAGCAATAAGTGCCCTTGGATGTCACAAAGCTGACCCTCTTCTGGTCCTCCTCGGCAAGAGGGATCTGGTGATACCCCTGGGAGGCATCCATCATGCTCAACAACTCGTACCCAGCTGTAGAGTCGACGAGCTGGTCAATATGTGGTAGGGGTAATGGTCTTTAGGGCAAGCTTTGTTGAGATCCCTGAAGTCTATGCACATCCTCCACTTTCCTTCTCCCTTTTTCACCATAACTGAGTTGGACAGCCACTCCGGGAATTGGATGGATCGTATATGCCCCGCCTTCAACAGCTTCTCCACCTCAGCTTCAATTACCACGTCTAACTCAGCGCCAAAATGCCTTCTCTTCTGCTTCACCGGCCTCATGGTTGGGTCGATGTTCAACCTGTGTTCTGCTACCTTGGGACTGATGCCGGTGAGGTCGTCGGCCGAAAAAGCAAACACATCCACAAATTCTCTCAACAATGCAATCAGCGCGCCTTGAATGTCGACCGCTAAATGCCGACCTACCTTGGTCGTCTTTGCAGGGCTCCCCTATCAATTCAACTTCCATCAACTCGTCCTGGGAGCTCATCCCCAATTCTTGTTTCTTCTCCTGGTGGGAGCACTCCGGTAAATCATCCCTCCGTCTCTTATTCTGCACCTCAGCTGTCTTCAATGTGACCTCGTAACACCTTCGAGACTGCAGCTGATCTCCAGTCACCTCTCCGACCTCATTCAATACGGGGAACTTAACTTTCATGCAATAAGTGGAAATGGCTGCCTGGAATGAATTCAAGCTAGGTCGTCCTAGTATGATGTTGTAGGTCGAGCTAGCATCCACGACCAAAAAACGGACCATCTTCACCTTCCTCAGAGGCGACCTCCCCAATGCCACAGTTAAGCTGACTTCGCCAACGAGGCGAACCTCACTGCCGCTGAAGCCAGAGAGAGCAGTGTGGACCGGTTCAACCTTCACGTCTAACTCCATCTGTTGCAAACACTTCAGGAAAATGATGTCCGCCGAGCTTTCCGTATCTATAAGCACCCTCTGCACATCATAGCTAGCCACCTCTGTAGTGATAACCAAGGCATCGTTATGTGGGACAACATGCCCCTGCACATCATCAGCTCTAAACAGTAGAGTAGCCGAGCTCTTGTGCACCTGTACTTCGGCCACTTCGTTAGCAGCACCCTTTCCTCAGTAAGTCCTCTTCCTCTCTCTACGCGAATCTCCATCCGTAGGACCCCCCACAATCATATGTATAATGCCTTTCTTGGTTGGCCTGTCATGTTGCTCATTAGTCCTCCTCCATTTGTCACCCAGCTCACGTCCATCGCGGCGATCTTCCTGGCGCTCCTTATCCTTTATCACGAACTAATTTAAGTGGTCGGCCCGGATGAGCCGCTCAATTTCGTCTTTCAACTCCTGACAGAAATTGGTAGAGTGACCATAATCATGGTGGTACCGACAGTATCTATCCTTTCCGGCTGAAAACTTTCGCGGTGGAGGCAGAGGTTTGGGTTGCGCGAGCAATTTGTCCTCTCCCCGCTTTTCCATCATCTCCAGGATCTCCTGTTGTGGCGCATTAAGTGGTTTGTAATGCTCGTACCTCGGACCCCTGAACCGCTCCTCAGCCTTGGACTCCTTAGCAGCAGTTCGGCGATCACTTTGTCGAGGCTTCTCGTCTACCTGCTTAGCCTTTGTTTTGTCATTCTGAATGAAATCCGCTTCAGCCTCCTCCATATTCACATACTTGCTACACCTCTCGAGGAGCTCGTCAAAGGACCTCGCAGGCCTCTTCGCCAGTGAATCCCTGCATTTACCGGGCCTCAACCCCCGCGTAAGATCCCCAGCTTTTATTTCCTCAGTAGCAGAAGGTACCTCCACACACTCCTTAGTGTACCTTGAAACGTACTGTCGCAGACTCTCCCCCTCCCTCTGTTGCATGTTGATTAGTGAGAGATACGTCTTCTCATGCTTCCTAGCGCTCGCGAACTGGTTTAAGAATAGAGAACTGAACCTCTCAAAGCTGTCAATAGAACCGGGTGGCAACTGGTGGAACCAGTCTTGTGCTGAGCCCTTCAAGGTAGTTAAGAAAGCCCGACAACTAACCGCATCGCTGTATCGGTGCAAGACCGCTATGTTATCGAACGACCTCAAGTGTCTAGCAGGATCTGCCGACCCATCATATGATAGGTTCAGCTCTCTGAAGTTATTTAGCAAGTCTCCACCTCGCACCTCTTCCGAAAAAGGATGACCATGGGACCTGCCCACCCTTCTCCTTGGGAGTCGGGCTTGCATCTCACGCATTTGTTCCGCTAGTCTTTCCAGAGTCAACCCCTCCTGATGCGCCACCAAGGGTCGAGATGTCACCGACCTATCGCCATCCTCATCCCCCCTTTTACGTTGGTGGGTTTGGTGAGGGTGCAAGGACAACTGTTGATGCACGGGTTGCCTTAGTGATTCATTAGCTCGCCGATCAACCTCTTGAGCCCACCCTATTGCGTCCGCTATGATCCTGTCCAGTTCCGCCCTCGTCATATGTATCGTTTGATCTCCTCTTGCCGTCGAGGAGTTGCCTGGGGGGTTGGTTCCTCCTGCTAAGACCATATATTGATCATTTGGTTGGGTGGTCTCTCCTGCCAAGACCATTTGTTGATTGTTTAGCGGGGTCACCTAACCCGTGTTCCCATCAGGGACCTGGCCGACCTGACCAATTCCTCCACTCGTTGCACCGCTGAGCTCCTTCTCCTTGTTGGCCAAGCCACCCGATTCTCCTGGGTTCGCCAAACGCCCTTGAGCTCCTGGTGGCGGTGGCGGGGTCAACGTCTTCTTGGGGGTAGTAGGCGACGGCGACCACCCGGGCGGCGGCCCTGTTCCAAGAGCCCTCTTCGTCCACGCCTCATCCATATCCTTCGTCAAGTTTTTCTTCAAGTTATCTCCTGCCATGATCCCCATTGCCTTCCTTCTTCTTTGGTGAGAAAAAAACAGCTTATGATACTCTGGTAGAAGACTGAGTTCCCCACAGACGGCGCCAATTTGTTATACCACAAATACCTGAACCGTTCGACCGCTCCTCTCGAACCGAATTGAGCCTCCTCGATCGTCGGTACCTGCAAAACACGCCGGGGGTGGTCCCGACGTGGACACTCCGACACTCAAGTCAGTGGTGGTGTTTCAGAGAGAAAACGGTGTGTGTTCTTCAAAATGAATGAACCTGTGTCCTTTTATAGGTGATGTAATGTACAAGCCAAAGAGTTCTTGTCGGTCCAGGAGTCTTTCTCGTGTTTATCTCTAAATTAGGTCAAAGATGTCCAGAACTTCAGAGTCCTTGTCACTACAAATGTCTTGTGACTTGGCCACGAAGCCACCGCCGGGCTCTGGTTACCTTGGTCGAACCCTCTGGCCGAGCTGCCTAGGTGCCGAGGCGCCTAGCTGCCTAGTTGCCGAGGTGCCTAGCTGCCCAGGTGCCCGGGCACCTAACCGCCTAGTCGATCGCCTCCGCCTAGCTCACGTTGAGCTGGTCTTCGCCTAGCGCCCACTAGATATAACTGTACCTAAACTCGGACCACGACCGGTCATCCCGGAACCGCTTCTTATGACTATATCACATATATATTATAATTTATATAAATATGAATATATGCATTATAATATAAACTATAACATATTACTATACACTATAACATACAAACTATAAACTATATGTTATATACTATATAATATAAACTATAACATATTACTATACACTATAACATACAAACTATAAACTATAACATACAAAGTATAAACTAAAACATATAAACTATATGTTATATACTATATAATATAAACTATAACATATT